GGGGGGGGGGGGGGGGTGGGGAAGAAAAGGTAAAAAAGAGAGAAAAAGAGAAAAGAAAAATAAAAAAAAATACCTGCTCTAACGTGGTCTGGCTAATGGAGTAGTGTTTGATTTGGAGAAAAGCTTTGTGATTCTCTAGGACTCTGAAGAGCTCTGCTAAGCATCCCTGACTTTGCGGTACATGGTACTCGAGCAGGTTAAGATGCTGTCCCTTAAAACAAGCACAAATGATAGAAACAGATAAAAGTGAATGTACATTATGGTGAAGTTACACTTGCTTATAACCAGTCTAGTTTCAATTGGCTTTCATTACACTTTAACATGGAAAATATGAGCTTTTAAACAAGAATGTATTTTGTCTACATTGGTAGCACAAAGAAATGTTCATACTCAGAGCACACACTTTGTACGTGTTCTGAGATGACATTTGGTTAATCTCATAAAAGATATAAATTTAGGAAAATTTTATGCTATAGGTTTTTAATCCAACAGACTAGTGCTGTTACAATGCAGCCTGTGAAAAGGCTGAGTGAACACATACACACACATATAAACATATACACAAACAGGTCCATATCTAAGGTAGTCATAGTTTTACATGATTCTTTTCCTAAACATGGATAAAGTAAAAAAAAAAAAAAAAAAAAAAATTAAAGGTCTTTGAGATTCTTTCTTGGAATCTAATTACTATAAGTCTTTTGTAAGGCTTCATACCAAATAAAAGAATCTCAGTAAAGACCGAGATTTATCATCTATGGACCTTATCAGAAAGCAATCAAAGCAAATACTCTGACTACACTGGACTCCTACCTCAGGTGAACACAAAGGCAACTTCAACTTCACCAACAATAAAAGCAAAAGGAAATTTTCACTCAGAGAAAGGGCCTGTTTATTTATGTTGCCTAAATGACTGTTTGGAGTTGATTTAATCAATATCACAAGTCAGATTTTTAAGAATTACTTAATAGAAAAATAAAAGGGATGCTCATACATACTTTTTCCAAAAAGACCAATATATCCAAAAATGTATATATGGTTCTTACCAGCCCATACTTAATCCTACCGTAGAACAAATACTATGACGAGGAGTTTTAGCTGTACCTTAAACTGTGTTCCAGGAAAGTACAGTTGTAGGTGGTCCAATATCATTCTTTGATAGCTTATTTCTTTACTAAGCCAGACCCTGACAGAATAGCCATCTCCAAACCTGAGAATGATACACAGAAACATAAATCCATTTGTCTACACTATGAAGACAGGAAGAACATTTGTTTCAATTGATTTTCCTGTAATGATTATGTCAAATAACATCATGTATGCCTCCTGTATTATCACTGTGATTTTAGTATTATACTATGGAACAATAGCATTTCAATGAGAAAGTTGTTAAATTAATGATAACAAACAGAAACAACAACAACAAAAAATGTTACGCCTACATTTTAATTACTACAGCATATTTCACTCTCCAATGTACTTGAACTTACGTTAACTAAAGTATGCTTTAATTACTATATTGCTTTGAATGGGTAGCAAAAAACTATGAAGATTACCAATCACCAATACAGAAGAAAAAACTAATCCTTTAACTTTTCTAATGAGAAAAATGGGCATGCAGCACTATTTTTCAAATCTTTTTACAAAGCTGCACAGCTTTTATTTCAGCAATGTGAGTACAATTGTGGTTTACAGATACACAAAGGCAACTACAGAGGTATTTAGAGAGATGGCAAAGTTAATGAATTTGCTTTAGCTCAATGGATACACAATCTGTCTCAGAATAATTCAGGAAATTAATTTCTCTTTCTCAACATACATGTGATAAAAGTTAAGTACAGGCAATCTAACATACTGTCCTGGTTTTGCCTGGGATAGAGTTAATTCTCTTCCTGGTAGCTGGTATAGTGCTGTGTTTTGGATTTAGGATGAGAATAATGTTGACAACACACTGATGGTTTAGTTGTTGCTAAGTAGCGCTTACACCAGTCGAGGACTTTTTCAGCTTCCCCTGCTCTGCCAGGTGCACAAGAAGAGTCAGCGGGTGGTGAGCGGTTACATCACTTGTTTTTCCTGGGTTTTGTTTCTCTCTCTCATTGTTTTCCTTTTCATTACAATTTATTATTATTATTGTTGTTGTTTTATTTTATTTCAATTATTAAACTGTTCTTATCTCAACCCATGAGTTTTCTTACTTTTGCTCTTCAGATTCTCTCCCCCATCCCGCTGGCAGGGAAGGGTGAGCGGGTGGCTGTGTGGTGCTTAGTTGTCGACTGGTGCTAAACCACAACACCAACACATTATTTTTTATTAGATTTACTCACTGCTAATATTTATTGGGGGAAGTTGCAATAAACCCATAAACACTGAAATGGCAACCGTATTTTTATGCACATCGCTTAAGCGATGGAAGTTATCTGGCACCAGTCTCAGAGCAAGGTGCAAGGACAGACCTCAGCAGAGAGATGGGGCAAAGCGGGGCTCCTGCTGTGTCCCTCCCCTCCCAGCCCCCCTTGGAAACTACGCGTCCTCCCTTTGGGTTCACCTTCTTCATGAATTCCTAGGGACAAAAGAGCAGCAGGAGCCAAGTCAGAAGAGCTTTCCTCTGCCGCTGCTATTGCCTGTTGCTGGTGCACAACGGAAAGGCAGAGCTGGGAGAGGGACAGGAAGCTCGGACTGCATTGCCCACGTCCCCCCAGAAACCTGCCATTCCCTCCGTCTTCCCGCTGACCACCACTCCCATGTCCTTCACTCCAGCATTACTTCCTTTTCTTCACTCTCCAGCTCCACGGTTACTCATCGCCAAATCCTTTCCCACATTTCTTCAGTTTCTAGTGACTATCCTCTGTGTAACTCCCTGGCACCAATACCCTCCTTGCTCATGTCTTCTGTGCACAACTTGTGAGTCAGGGTAGCAGCTGGGTTAATTGGATCTGACAGGTGTGAAGCACGTTTTCATGTGATCAAAGCAGAAGTAGGTATCACAGCATGCTCTATGATGCTGCCCTTTTCCAATACAGAAAAAAAATGTCTATAGAATATCAATCCAAATGTAATAAAAAATAGAAAGGACTGTTCTGAGACATATGTCCAGTTTAGCCACTGTCTGAGCAGCTCCCAGCAAAATACTTCACATGAAGCACCACATGTTCCTCATCTATAATATGTGTATAGCAATGTAAAGGCTTTAACTTTTATTTTGTGTCAGACCAGAACCTCTGTTGGTATAAAGCAATAAAGTCTTCACTGATTTCAAAGCAGTGCAAGTTTTCACAATGAAAAATTCTAGACTGCAGTTTTTATTCTGTTAAGAATTGTACATGAATTCAAAATATAATTAACAAGGATCTGCTCAGAGAAGAATCCTATTTCTTTGTGTAGAATGAAACCATAGTTGCTACATTTTAGGTATCACGGTGGCAGCTTCTGCATAAGAAGTTGCACTGTATGAAAAGCCACATTACAAATAAATTATTGTAGGGGTTTTTGGTCTTTGTTTTTTTTTTTGTTTATTTTTATTGCAGTCAAATGCAATCACTGAACTGCTTGAAATGGAGTAAGAAGAAACATTCCTGATGCAGTGTCCTGTTTGTTGGTTCCTGAAGGATGTTATATGCATTAAATCCTATCAGGCCCAAGCTGCAGGGTACCAAATATTCACTGAGCAATAAGACCTGATAGCTGAACAGTGCTGTTACACCAAAGAGATCCAGAATAAGGTGGAACCCAAAGCAGTGGCTGGCTGATTTGCTTTGCAATGATCTACTGACACATAATAGATCTCTAATTAAATGTTTTAAATGCATAGCATCATCCCTGAAAAACTACATGTGACAATAAAAAGAGATGTTACAAAGATGGATATAGTTAACAAGGATGTTCAATTTAGTTGACAACCAACCTGAGACAACATTTTACAAGAGATCATTGATTCTGATCAGTTTTTTGGCATCTCTACACAGCCACCACTGAATTACAGTTTCAAAAATCCTGTCTTATGGAAATGCTCAACAGTCTCATAAAATGAAATTGTTGTATGCAATGAAGTTTCCAAAGAAAATGAATCAAAGTTCTGATTAGCAAAGACAGAGAAGTCTGTATAACTTTCGTTTAATTCTAAATTGCGAATGGCATAAACACCAGCATGGTACAAACAAAAAGCTTTAAAGGGTTTTTTTTCTTTTGGCTAGTCAAATTAGGATGCTTCTACACCTTGATTTTATAATTCATTTTAGTACAAGAGCTCCCCACATAGAGTAAGCTGATAAGCAATAAACATTCCCCCTTGCTACAATCAGCAAGCTGCTTTCAGCAGCGAACTGAGGCAATGAAAATCGAGTTGACCATTTTTTTCACTCTGTTTTCCTCTCTGATTCAGACAATATAATTAATTCAGAAACCCAAAGTGGAATTACAGAGAAAAGCACAATCTGGTTTGATTAGCACTGTTAGGATCAAACCTTTAGCACCTGATAGTGCAAGACCTAAGGAGGGAAACATTATCATTAAAATGGCATAAGTTGAGCCAGCACACCTGTTCAGCAGCCATCTGCTGCAAAAGAATCACCATCTCTTCAAAGCTATTCAACAAAGATATTTTCCACTGCTAATTTCTATCACATTACTTTAACAACACCTGCATTTTTATTTGTGTATACACACATACACAAAAACACATATTCTGACAAAAAAAATATTTTTCCTCTCTATCATTCCTCTTCTCCCTCAAACTAGTTGTTCACACTTGACTTTCACCTCATTAGCGATTCTGAAAGTATTGTTTATTGAGCGCTTTACCTACTAAAATGCCACCATGAGACTGAAACTAAAATATAAATTCCCAGACTGATTGTAAACTAATTAACTTGAGTATTAACAACAGCATCAGCTGCAGAACCATGAGTTTAGCAAGGACTACAAAATGCATCCAAGAACTCCACAGCTTTTAATTATATAGCTCCTCAAGCTAGCTGAGCAGCTCAAATAACAAGGGAACAAAAGGAACATAAAATGGCAACGAAGAAAGAAACAATTTCCATAGCAGCAATTACTAAATAGGCTAAAACTTTTCAGCATCGACAAAAGACGACGAGGTGGTAGAAAAGTGTTTTTACAGAGCCCAGAATCATGACTGGCCTAAGGAATGTAACTAAGGAATGATTCTTCACTCTGCTATGTTTCTCATGCAAGAACAGGGGGCATGAAATTAAATTATAGGGAGGGCAACGCAAAAGCAGTAAGATGAAGTAATTTTCCTTACAGCACATAGGGAAGCCGTACAACTCATTGACAGAGGATGTGCTGGATGCCAGAACTTGACATGAGTTAAATAGGAGACTAGAGAAATTTGGGCAGGGAATCCGCTAAGACCAGCTCTAGCTTAGGAAGCCTCGAAGCAACAAATTGCTGAAGGATGGTTGAGTAATGTGGAAAAGTAACTTCATGTGCTGATCTTGTTCCTGTACTTTTCCCTCCTGGCCGCTGTCAGAGAGAGGATACTGTGCTAGATGGGTCTTTGATCTGACCTCATGGTTGTTTCAGTATAAATATCACAAAGAGGAGGTCAGCCTGGGCTAATCACCCAAACAGTTCCTCAGTTCTCGGAAGGGTTTTGCAGCCCGTGATACAGTTCCACAGCCACACTGACAGCAGTACAAAGATAGATAACAAAACTACTTCAGATATGTGTCTACACAAGGTGCAGTCACACGCTGGAATAAAGTGTAGCCAGATCTGTACGGACTGAGGAAGTCCCCTGGCTGCTTTCCTGGTGCTCTTTCTAGCTTTGCAATGGGAATGGAAGTGGATTTAGTTGCCCAAAGGCTGAAAATTTTCATAAATACCAAGTAGAGGAGTTGCCACTTGGGGCAGATCAAGTAATACTAACTTATCAATGCTCCTTTCTGCCCATTCCTCAGAGGTCCTGGTTCAGAGATTTGAATGGCGACAAGAAGTTGCTGAAACAAAACGCCTTATGGCCACACAGCTGAGCTTACACTTGGCTGGTCACAAGGGGTCCCTAGAGGAATTAACTGAATGTTTTTTGAAGCTTGACCCATGAAATCCTGTTTTCTGTGAAGGGTGAAAAAGAAGGTCCATTATTAACAGACTTCTATTTGCTTTAAAAAAATTAAATCTGTATTTTCATTTAAAACCCTTAGGAGTTTGCTTGTCCACAAATGAACAAAACCAAACCTAGAAAACACTGTT